CCTGAGGTTGAGGGGGGAACCCCCAGCCCCCCCCTGGTTTAGGGCGGGCAGGGCGTTCCGTCCCCCCGCCGAGGTCGCTGGCCCCGTCTTCCAGTAAATCCAACACGCCCCAGAGCGTGTCTGGCGCCTGGTGCTGCTCCCTCAGGGCACAGGCTGTTTCCTCCCTCAGGCAGGGGCCGGACAGCGTTGGTAACCAAGTGTCTCCGTGCCCTGTTCACCTTGGCCTTGCCCAAAGGCACCTCCCGTGCCCTCGGGTTGTCTCTCCCCTACCTGTTGTTGGGGTGAGAGCCTCCCCGGCCCGATTTCCAGCCTGCCTCAGCTTCTCTGCTCAGGCTGCCGTCAGAAATGAAGGGAATAACGCTCCGTGCCCTGTTGTACCAGTTGAGTTTAAGCCTTGCCAGCCCGTGTGCTGCTCCAGGACAGACTGGCTGCTCCTTGTTTACTCCTCAGCGTCTCCTCTCCCGCCCGACGCGCCGTGTGACGGGTGTCACTGCCAGCCTTGCTCTATAATAAGTGGGTGACACTCTGCTTGTCTTTTCCTTCCTAGAAGAAGAGGTTCTGAGCTCACCTCTGAGCACGGGGGCTTTTCAGGGCACCGAGCAGCCCCTGCCAGGATGTTTCTGCGGGTGCTGTCGGACGTTCGGTGGCGGGCGACGAGCCCCGGCTGGAGGAGAGTGACCTGCTCCCAGAGAAGCACCTCCAGCACAGCAGAACCTCAGCAGGTTCCCTTGCCAGCACAGGCACAGGTTGTCATCTGTGGTGGTGGAATCATGGGCACCTCCGTGGCCTATCACCTCTCCAAGATGGGCTGGAAGGATATAGTCTTGCTCGAGCAGGGCAGGTAAGGATTTCTGGGAACAAAGCCAGAGGAAAAGGGTGTCCACACCTGGGTTATTTCTGGTTACTCCCCTGGAATTGGGACCCAGCTTGTTGTGAGAATTAGTAAATGAGTCTTACAGCTCCTTCCCAGCACAGGCCAGACCTGCAGGGTGAAGGGTGTGGTGGGTTAGCCTTGGTTGAGGGCCCAGGTCCCACAGAGCCACTCACTTTACCTTAGCAAGATGTGGAGAAAGTAGGCTGAGAAAGCTTGTGGATCAAGGTAAAGACATGGAGATTGCTCACCAGTTACTGCCCTGGGCAAAATAGGCTTGATCTGGGGAGGATTAATTTAATTTATTGCCATTTAAAAGAGATTTGGGGACTGAGAACTAAAAGACGAAGTAAAAGACCACCTTTCCTTTCCCATGCTTGACTCCACTGCTGTGCTCCAGGGTCTTCTACTCACCCCTGCACCTCAAGAAGGGTGGGAGGTGAATGCTGGGGATATGGTCACTGCTGGGATGCAATGTGGGTCCTCCATGGGCTGCAGTTCCCCTCAAGAGAACTCTGTCCTGGCATGAGTTTTCCAGTTCCTTTGGGAGAGATCCATCTGCCCTGGTATACATCACAGAAAAACTGAAGCTCACAAAGTTGGGCCATTTTGAGAGAGCTGAAAATCTGCAGAACTCCTTCAGCCCCTGTTGATCATCTCTAGAAGCAGGATGTGATCTGTGTATGAATCTCCCAGCCCTGGCAAAGCTCAGAAGAGCTTGTGGGAGGTGTGGGGGTTACAGGTAGGCATCCCAGCCCCCTGTGAGCTGGTTACAGGCTCGGATTATCCAGTCTGACTGTTGCAGGATTCAGTGCAGTTCTGTACAACAGCTCAGCCCTGAGTCCAGGTCTTGGTGGGGGCTCTTTGGTGGGTTGGATCTGCAGTCTGGGGCAGAGCATGTAGATCCTGTTGACAGCTGACTGTGCAGCCCTTGCCTGTTGTTTGGATTTCTGCTCCAGAGATGGGTTCCTGGTGTTTTCATTAAGTGATTTGGGGACCTCAGTGTTGAGACTTCAGGGCTTTGAAGAGGTGTTTTATGGCAGCAGCTTCTCACACCCTTTAACAGGTGCTGGACTATTTAGTGTAGAGCTTCCCACCTGATGCTGCCTTTAATGAGTAATTAACTGTGATTCCTTGACTGGCAAGCAGGCAGCATCAAGTTTTTTAGAGTTGCAAAGAGAGGGCATGGAGTCATCTCATCCCAGACCTTGTGAGCAGGGAGTTTTCTGTAAGTTTCTGCCTCTGCAGCAGCTCTTCAGCAAACAGCTACATGGCCAGTGGTTTAAGAACAGTTTGAAAGGGGACAAGAAATGTGTGTCCCTACCTGCGGCAGTTGCTGCAGGGTGAGAGAGACTTGTTCTTACTGTGAACTGCAAAGATGCAGTACTCAAATCCAAGTCAATTTTTCATTGGAGGGAAATGCAGCTTTGGAGGAAGAAGAGTAGGTAGGCAGATCAATGTAAGCATAAAGTCTTTTTTTTTTTTTTTTCAAGTGCTTTCTTTAGAATCCTGGAACACCAGGTTGGGAGGGACCTCAAGGATCATCAGGTCCAACCTTACTAGGTAATAATCCAGTTGAAATGAGGTGGCCCAGCACCCTGTCCAGCTGAGTCTTAAAACTGTCCAATTTGGGGCAACCCACCACTTCCCCTGGGGGATTGTTCCCATGTGTCACTGTTCTCATGGTGACAAATTTTCTTCTGGAGTCCAATTGGAATCTCCCCGGGAGTAACTTGTTCCCATCACCCCTTGTCTTTTCCATGTGTAAAAAGGGAGTCTCCCATCTTCATGGCAGCCCCCCTTTTTGGACTGGGACATGGTCATAAGGTCTCCCCTGAGCCTTCTCTTCTCCAGGCTGAACAAGCCCAGTCCTCTCAGCCTCTCCTCATGTGACAGGTCCTCAGGTGGATTGTTTAGGATGAGTTAAAGAGAAACAGTTGTGGGTTAACAAGTGTTTTCAAAAGGGAGCTGAAGGAAAAGCATTCTAGAGGCTGCATTATCCCTCCATCATCCCACTTTTGGTTGGACACGTTTGGAGGAGAGGTTGCTGCCTGGTGCCTGCTGTGGGCAGAGCTGCAGGAGGAGCTGGATGAAGCCTCTTTGCAACTTCTCCTGCAGGTTGGCTGCTGGTACCACTCGCTTCTGTGCTGGCATCGTGAGCACAGCCAGGCCCATGTCCATAGAGCTGAAGATGGCAGACTATTCCAACAAGCTCTACCAGCAGCTGGAGCAAGAGACAGGAGTGAAAACAGGTACTGGAAATGCAGTCCTCATCTTTGGGAAACTGGAACAAAAGCATGGAGGCTGAAATATATTAATATAATTTTACAATGGGTTAAGAGTTGGTGGTTCCTGCTCAAAAAACGACTGAGTCAGATGCAAAGGGGTGTTGTTAATCATTCATTGGTTTGGGTTGGATGAGACCTTAAAGATCATCTAGTTCCAACTCCCCTGCATGGGCAGGGACACCTCCCACCAGCCCAGGCTGCTCCAAGCCCCATCCAACCTGCCCTTCAACACTGCCAGGGATGGGGCAGCCACAGCTTCCCTGGGCAACCTGGGCCAGGCTCTCACCACCCTCACACCAAACAATTTCCTCCTCATGTCCAACCTCAATCTCCCTCTTCCAGTTTTAATCCCTTCCCCCTTGTCCTCTCCCTCCCTGCCCTTGTCCCAAGCCCCTCCCCAGCTTTCCTGGAGCCCCTTCAGGCACTGGAAGGTGCTCTAAGGTCTCCCTGGAGCCTTCTCTTCTCGAGAATGAACACCCCAACTCTCCCAGCCTGTCTCCAGAGCAGAGCTGCTCCAACCCTCCCATCATCTCCATGGCTTCCTCTGGACTTGCTCCAACAGCTCCATGTCCTTATGTTGGGGGCTCCAGAGCTGAACCCTCTTCTCTGGATGAAGTCTTCCAAGAGCCAAGTAGAGGGGGACAGTCCCCTCCCTTTGTCCTGCTGGCCAGTTAACCAGAATAATGGGAAGAATGATATCAGATGGGCAGACTGAAGGCAGTCTGCAAGCTGTGACCTCTGATTCTTGTCTGTAACTTGAGCAAAGAGCTGAGTTTTCATTAAGGCACTGACAAGTGTAATGGAGCACGTGGCCCTTTTTCTGCACCAACTCACTTCTCAAAAAGAGAGGGTAGTTATAGAAGCACTAAAGCACACAGGCAAAGCAAGGTGTCCTCCTCTGGAAAGAACAAGGAAATACTGTGTTGAAATTCTCCCTCCAGAATGTTCAGGCATTACCTGAGAGGAGGGAACTTTGATTACTAGAGGTTTTCTGCCAACAAGGACTTGTGATATATGTGAGACTCAGCAGAAGTTAATAACTGTGCCTGTAATTAAGATTAGCATTAATTTATTGCATGTGGTGATGTCACAAAGTGTCTGCATTTATTTGTTGAGGTTTTATTATTCTGGGTAGTTATTAGATCACTTTTTCACCAGTAACATCTCTCTCTTTTAGTAGGTGAAGCTGAATTTTGTTGATAAACTTGAGCAAATGTGCTTGAGTCAGAACACAGATGAGAATCAAATGGCTGTGTTGGGAGGTTGACTAATGCAGTTTTTAATGACTGTTGGGGAGGTTATTTGCGGATGGGGGATCCTGAGTGGTGGAAGCAATGGATCTGAGGTTGAAAAAGAATCCAGGATCCTGCCCAAATCTGACTCTGGTCACTGTCACAGGGTACGTGAGGACAGGCTCCATTTCCCTGGCTCAGACCCAGGACCGGCTGATCTCCCTGAAACGCATTGCTTCCTCACTCAGGTAGGTACCAGCAGGAAGTCAAGCTGACCTGAGATTTGCACCAACTCTCCTGCCAGAGCAGTGATGGCATTTTTCTTACCTCCTGTGGCAGTGTGATGGGGATACCTTGTCAAATCATCACCCCAAAACAAGTGGCCCAGCTCCACCCGCTCATCAACATCCACGACCTTGTAGGGGCCATGTATGTGCCAGAAGATGCAGTCGTGTCATCTGCCAGTGTGAGTGTGGCCCTGGCAACTGCTGCCTCAAGGAATGGTATGAGGGGTTTCTTTGAATCTCTAGAGTGCTCTCCTGCATGATAGTGACCTTCTTTTCACAGCATCAAATTATGCCTGGTATTCCCAGCACTGAAAACCCAAACTGGGTTATTTCTGTAAGGTTCTGGTTCTTTACCATCTATTTTCCTTCAAAGAACAGGCTGAGTTGTTATTTTTTTTAACATCCTGAATTTTTACAGATCTCCTGTGATAGTTCAAGCACCAGTTTCTTACTGGTTATATTTTCCTCTGAATGAGCACACCCTCTTTCATTATGAAACCAATCCTGCATAGGACCCAACTCAAAACTACCCCTCCAGAGGGACCTACAAATGCAAAGATGTGACTGAGTATTTGTGGAATATTTCACTGGGCCTTGGGAAATGGATTGGGAAGTGTAGTAATAAATGCAGATTTGCCCAGCACTTTGGCAAATTCAGAGTGGGCTATAAGTGGGAGAAAGGTTAGATATGAAAGCAGAGATGAGGCTGGAAGTCCATCAGATTGCAAGAAGCTACGTGGGAAGGTGACTCTCAGTTTCTTTTTAGTCCTGCTTAAATTTTTGCATGCTGTTAATTGATTATTTTTTTACTAAGTTGCTGATTTCCAATTAAAGAACCAGTTTTGGCAGCTGAAACTGCAGCTTTTCTTGCTTAAAAGAATTGCAATGGAAAGAAATCCATAGCTGAAACTATTTTTTCCTACGTTGTTGATACTAGGCTGTATTTGTCACCCAGATTGTCACATGGGCAGGAGAACTGTAGCTCCTCACAGTCTCAGCCTTAAATGTTGTACAAGTTGTGAACAGGCTGTTCCACAAATAACAGAGCTTAAGAGTGTCAAGAATATCAATTTTGTCTTTAGAAAATAAGCAATTAGCTCAAATTTAAAGGTTTGATGGTAGCAGTCTGAGGGATCAGGAAGCAGGCTGGTGGTGTCCTGACTTTGGGATGTCCTCTCCAGGTGTCCAGGTCCATGAAAGGACAAGTGTCAGTCATGTCACAGTGCAGAAGGGGTGTGTGACTGGAGTGGAGACCGACAGAGGACGGATTGGATGCCAGTACTTTGTCAACTGTGCTGGCCAGGTGGAGTCATTTCAATGTTTCTGCCTCAGTTGTTGGGTTTGGTTTGTTTCCGTCTTTGTTTTAACTGTTTGTGCTGTGGGTTGTTTTACTGGAGTAGAGCAAGGTCATGTTGTTCAGCTCAGAGATGCTGTGCAGGAGGAGAGCAGTGCTTGCTGCTTGCTTGGCACCTTCACCTGCTGAGGAGCCCCCTGCAGCCTGTTGGGACAGCTCTGTCCTGGGGGTTGCACCTTTCTGACTTTTGCTTTGGTTCTTAGGGAGATGTTAAGTCTCTCTCTGCTCTATTCTCTCTGAAAATTCCTTTTTTTTTCTCTTTTTGTTAGTGTCATGTCTTCTCCAGTCTGAAAACAAGCTGTTTCTCACTAACTGGCTTGTAAGTGGGGGGTCTTCACAGTACAGGCTCCTCAGTCCTGACTTCCTCTTCTAGAGGCTGAGCCTGCTGGTGGCTTTGATGGACCGATCTTACTTTGCTTTTCTCTTCTTTACCAAGAAGTTGGTACTTCTTGGGCTCAAATCAGAGCCCCCCTTTTCTAGACCTTAGATGAGGAACAGAAAAACACTCTTTGTCGTGAGCAGTTCAAATTCTATACAGAGAGGGTGGGAAAAGTGTGTCTGCTTAAGATTCAGGGCACTAAACCAAACCTTACTTGTCCTCTTAAAGGAAACCCCCAGAGATGACCTGTGGAGTTGTTTTTCTTCTTTTGCATTCTAACATGGCATTTTTTTTCTTTCAGTGGGCCTATGAGTTGGGCCACTCTGGGGAGGAACCAGTTAACATCCCACTCCATGCCTGTGAGCACTTCTACCTCCTGACACATCCCTTGAAGGAACCTCTGGCAAGCAACTTACCAAGTAAGGATTCTCCAGCTCTGCCTCACTTTTCTTGGTCAATCACAGCTGTCTTTCTGAGGCTACACGTGGTTTATGACATACAGGCCAACTAAGTGCTATCAGTTCTCACCTCATTTGGGATTGTGAAGTACATTCTAGCTGAATTGCTCCAACTCTCCTTCTCCAGTGGTAGAATCTCTTTCCTTGCTCTTGGGAAAGCTTCCACTGCAGAAATTGGTTTTCAGAGTGGGTCATCTTAGCAGGAGAATGACTCTCTTGACTGGTAGGTGTTTCTTGAGACTTGGGTTGTTGCATTTGTGAGCTGGAAAGGGTGCTAGCCTTAGCACTATGTTTTCCTTGCAGGCTGCTGTCCCCAAATGGCCCATCTATTCCTTTCCTCCAACTGAAGCTCAGGCTTTACAATGGCATTTACATGTCTATGAGCTGTAGGGGCAACCAAAGCACTTGAGGTAATGGCTCCTCCCCCATGTTCTGGCTTTTGGATCTCTTAAAAAAAAATAAAAAAAGACCTTGTGTTTAAAAACTGGTTGGGAAGTAGGAAGTTTTGCTTATTTACTCTCAGTCTTTAGCAGGAGTTTCTGCTTCTGGTGAGTCATGTCTATGTTGTCCAGGGAATTTAGCTCAGACCAGAGTCCCTGAGTGCTTCACTTTTACTTGACTGGGTCTTTAGATACATAGATCCATGCAGATAGAGATACCTGTCTGGATATATTCACAGCTTTTCTGTACATGGGAAGAATCGCCATGGAACCTGTCAGGTGGAGTATCATAAATGCTTCAAGGTGACTCTACCACTGGAAGAAGCAATCCAGACCTGACTGCTGGTCCTCACCCCAGTGTTGCCCACCTTATTTGTGCTAGTGGCCTCCAGCAAGCTGGATCTGTGATGCATCCCCATAAAAATGAACTATTCATATAGGAAGAGAAAGAGAGGGAGGGCAGGACATCTCCTGATGGAAGGGCTGATCTTGGGTCAGGCTTCAGTGGAACCAAGCCAGTATAACAACTTGTGGATCTGCAAGGGATCTGACTCCCTCTTGTGTCCTCCCACTCCTGGTAAAACTGTCCTCCTGGCTTGGGTGCTCCTCAGGTTCAGTTCAGCTCACTGTGCTGCCCAGCAGGAAGGTGGTGGTGGGAGTTACTGCTGGTTTAGTTACCTAGACTGCCTCACCAGGGCAACACATGAGAACCAGAATGATGAGAAATTATGGGGTTGGGGGCCTGAGCCTGTCCCTTCTCATGTCAGGGAGCTGCTGGCTTGGCCCAGCCTGGCTCCAGGCCCCGTCCTTGGTGTTTGTGGAGCAGCCTGAGGCAGCTGAACCTTCTCTCAGTTCCTTTCCCACCTCTTTCCTTTCCTCTGCAGCTATTGTAGACCCAGATGGCAGGATCTACATCCGCAACTGGCAAGGTGGCATCCTCTCAGGGGGCTTTGAGAAGAACCCCAAGCCTCTCTTCACAGAGGGAAGGAACCAGCTGGAGATTCAGAACCTTCAAGAAGACTGGGATCACTTTGGTATGTTGGGGAGGAGAGATTCCCACAGCAGAAGGCAGAGTTAGCAGCAAGCCAGGCTGTTGGTGACCAGCTAGCACCTCTCTGCCTCTACCTGAGAGGTGTGGGAAAGATGGACATTTCCCTCAGCTTAATTCATCTCTTCATTTGTCACTGATTTGCATAAAACCCCTTTACCAAGGACTACATCAATCTCTAGTGTATAAAAACCCTCACTAACCCCCAGCATGTATCAGTTTCCCCTGGTGCAGAAGGTGCTACAGAAACTCTCCAGCACTGCTCTTCCATTTCATTGGGGTTTTGACTGTCAGTGTCACATGCTGCTCCCCCTAGGACACTGCACGTCCACCCTGGTCTCCTGCCACGTGGCTCTGGTGTTCTGTTTCTTTCTGCAGCTCCTTCCAGCACTGGCTGCCAAGTGCATTTCCACCACTGGCTGTTGCTTTGGTGAGCAGAGCCTGATACTGTTGCTTCCCAGACTTCATCTCCCCATTGGAAGTGGTGGTTTATTATATTCCAAATGTTCCGTCTTTCTCTTCCCTTTTTATTTGCTTCTATTTTTATATCCTGTATGGACTTTTTGCATGGAGGGCTTTTCCTGTAAGGAACATAACATGGTCCCTTTCTCTCCCCCCAGCCCCTCTGTTATGCCTGCTAAGTTTGTGTGTGTCCTCTCATCTTCAAATTTGCCTGAGTTTTTTTTCCAGGGACTTAGTTTTCCCTTGTGTCAGAGCTCTTTGCATCCCTTGTGAATGCACATGCAAGTCACTCTGGGCACAGATGGACTTTCCCTGATTTCTTTCTGCACTTGGTAGTATGTTCTTCCAGCTGCTCCCCAAGTTAAACTGATTCATTTGATTTCCCTTTCTCTGAGATCCTGTGTTGATACCATATGAGTGTGAACTCCAGGGGGTGGAGCCAGGGTGGTTTTGTGCTGCCATACACTGAAGGTTTTTAGATCTGTAGATGCCTGCAGACTTGCTTGGAGATACCAGCTTCACTAATGAGTTGCTTGAACTCTGCACCTACCTCATTTTTGGGTTTCTAGGTACTGCAGGAATGAAAAGGCACTGCTTGGTGGCACCCACAAACTTTTGGAAGCAGCTGCATGTGATGCTTCAACGTTGTTATTACCCTTCTATCACTTCAAACACACTGAGCAGAGTCAAGAGCTGACTCAGCCAATATTTGATCCTTTTCTAGGTTTCTAGTTCTGTGGTTTGAGCTCTTGCATTGCTGCTTTGATCTCTTTGGTTGGAACACCTTTTGATTTTAAAGTAGCCCATGCAGTTGCTTCAGCTTTGGGCTGGATGTGAGGACAAATCTAACACAGATCCCTCTTATCTGTAAGAATAAAAAAGTCTGTAACTACAGGCTCTTCCTCTGGAATTTTAATGCTTGAGAGGGGGAAGAAGAGGTCAGGAAGAAAAAGAAAATGTGAAATCTGATTCTTTTACTGCTTCTGTGCAAAGTGTTATCAGTGTTGAATCTTGAGGGTGTTTATCTGGAGTGCTGTGCAGAGGTAACTTCTGGAGATTAAGAACAAAGCAGATAGCTTAGCCCTTCATTAATGCTCTCCAGTGTCAGGCTACAAAGAATTGCCTAAGGACATTTCCAGCCTGACTGGGCAATGGGAGTGGCAAGGAAATTCCATGAGGATGAATGTGAAGTGACACAGGCACTCGGGGGAGGATTCTAGGGGGACGGTCTTACTTGCACCACACAAAATGATGGGCTTTGAATTGACCTTGGGGAGGTGTTAGTTCTGTGAAGACATCAGCTCAGCAGCAGTCAAAGCAAAAGGCAAGTTAGGAATTGGTAGGAAAGGAGCAGAAACCACAGTCCTGATCCAACCCTAAATCCTTAGTTTGCCAGATAGAAACTGTTGTTCCAGCCTCCCCGTCTCCAGAGGGTGCTGTGTGACTGGGGAGAATCTGGGGAAGGATCAGCAATGAAGCTGATCAAAGCTTGGAACAGTTTGCAAGCAAGGAATGACTGAGTGGGCTGGAAAAAAGAGATGACAGAAGGGAATTCAAGAGAGGTCTGTGAGATCTTGAATGGGATCAAGGGGATCAAGAGGGGGATCTCCTGGTCAGTGTCTCTTGTATTGTGCAATTTCAAAACAAAAGGAGATGATTCCTTATACAACAAATCCTAAGCATTTGGAGCTCCTTGTCAGCATCTGTAGGATGTTTTCATGAGTTTGGGGAAGCCTGGTTAAGGACTTAGAAGAGAGATTAATTTAGGGGTGAGTAACTAGGGAAAACAAGAGCTTTGCAGGAAATCCTCTGTGCTGATGGGAAGTGGAGGCTGGCAGAGGGTGTGGGACAAGCTTCATGTAGGTTTGCCTGTTCTTGCTCATCGATAGGTATCTATTTGGTGTCTGTTCCTATAGTTTTCCCTGACAAAACTGGAAATGCTTTTGCACTGTTGAAAGCAGTTCTGGGCTCTGGGGCTAGATCATAGAATCATAGAATCTTAGGGGCTGGAAGGGACCTCGAGAGATCATCTAGTCCAACCCCCCTGCCAGAGAGCAGGGACCTTCAAGATCATCTAGATCCAACCCCCTGCATGGGCAGGGACACCTCCCACCAGCCCAGGCTGCTCCAAGCCCCATCCAACCTGCCCTTCAACACTGCCAGGGATGGGGCAGCCACAGCTTCCCTGGGCAACCTGGGCCAGGCTCTCACCACCCTCACACCAAACAATTTCCTCCTCATGTCCCACCTCAATCTCCCTCTTCCAGTTTTAATCCCTTCCCCCTTGTCCTCTCCCTCCCTGCCCTTGTCCCAAGTCCCTCCCCAGCTTTCCTGGAGCCCCTTCAGGCACTGGAAGCTGCTCTAAGGTCTCCCTGGAGCCTTCTCTTCTCCAGGCTTCACCCCCAGCTCTCCCAGCCTGTCTCCAGAGCAGAGCTGCTCCAGCCCTCCCATCATCTCCGTGGCCTACTCTGGACTCTCCAGGAGCTCCATGTCCTTCTTGTGTTGGGGGCTCCAGAGCTGAACCCAGTTCTCCAGTTGGGGTCTGATGAGGGCAGAGCAGTTTGATTCCAGCAGGGAAACGGTTGATCCAGCAACGTGTCTTGAAACGCAGAAGCCATTTCCATCTCTTCAGATAACTTGTCTCTGTCCAGCTTGGAGGTGATCTAAAGTGATCTAAACACGTGGACACTGAAGGCTGTGAGTTTTTATCTTTTGATTCTTTTTATTCCAGAGCCACTCCTGAGTGCCCTCCTGCGCAGGATGCCAGATCTGGAGGCTCTGCAGATCATGCAGCTGGTGAACTGCCCCGAGTCCTTCACGCCAGACATGCGCTGCATCATGGGGGAGTCACCCACTGTGCAGGGCTACTTTGTGCTGGCTGGCATGAACTCTGCTGGGATCTCATATGGTGGGGGAGCAGGCAAGTAAGTGGTTTGTCACTGTTATGTGTGTAAGTTAGGTTTTAACCAAGAGGCTGCTCAGGTGATCCTGCTGGGTAGAAAGTTCTGGTCGGTATTTGTCACCTACTCTCCAACAAAGGCTCCTTTTCTTTCCAACTTGAGTGAAGGAGACAAGAAGTTGCCATGATTATGTTCTCCTGAGTATATTCCAAGTGTGTTGGCCTCTCCTCCTGCCCTCAGGCATCACATCTCAGTGATCAGAAGCCTGCTAACTGGTTTGATTTGGTGATCTGCCAGGCAGAGATAAAAGCTGAGCAAAGCAGATATTGCCTCATCTTCTGTACTCCGTGATCCCCTGCAGTTTATTATTTGGCTGAAGTCCTTAGATCATTCAGGTTGACACAGCAGTTAATTCCTGAAAGCAGAGTGAATTTGAGGCAACTGAAGCACCACACATCTTGCTGCCAGTGCTGCTAAGGACTGTCCTGTGCCAGTGAGCTGGGGATGGAATCGTTTCCCAGTCAAATCCAGTTCCTGTGTTAATGCAGATACTTTGACAGGCATGTGAGTGTGGTCCCAGCAGCAGAGTTGCTTGGAGAACCATCATCACTCCTGATTGCCATTTGGTTTTGGCAGCCCAGCATCCCTCTGCCATGCAGCCTTCTCAGGAGGCTGTTCATTTTCATGGCAGGTGTTGGTATCTGCATTTGTCTCTGCCGCTTTCTGTCTATTGTCTAATAATTTAACTCACCAGGGAAGCAACTCATGATTTTTTTTTCTATGTCGTATAAAATACAGAGAATCTTGACAGTGAGGTTCTCTAGGAATCAAAGTGATTTCTGAAAGTGGAAGGGCTATTTTCTGTTTGTGTTTTTTACAGCCTCAAGATAAGCAGCTTAGCTTGCCAATGTAACTTTTAATGACCAGTCTCAGACCCCTTTGTTTTCCTGTTTACTGACCGTGAACAGATCCTTCTGCTCTGCTTTGGTCTGAGCTGCCTTTGTCCTTTAGCTCTGGAGCATGCCTTCCTCCTCCACTGCTAGAAGTGTAGCTAAGCATAAGTGGGCTGGCACCTCGTGCTAAAATGAATGCTGTCCCTGATGGTTTGTGACTGAGCCTGCACCAGCTTCTGAAAAATGACACAAAGCTGTTGTCAGCCTCTAACTCCAACCCAAACCACCTCCTAGGGTAGCATAACCTGAGGACTTTGACCCAGGGTCAGCCAGGCTACTTCTCCAGCCTCTGGCTTCATTTACCAGATGTCCTTAACTTCCTACTGCCCTGTTTGTTTCACCCTGATGGGAAATGGTTTTGGAAGTCTGGTGGATGGGTTTTGTGAAGGGAAACCTCCCAGCTTCACCTAGTGTTTAGAACACCACGTTTGTAGCCTTCTCTCTCCCTATTGCAAGAACTTTTCATGTCCAGGCTGCCTTGCTGCTGGCTTCAAAGCTAGACTCTTTTCCTTCAGATGCTGGGAAGTATCTCAGTGTTCTTTGCACTTCTTCCATCAGGTACCTGGCAGAGTGGATGGTGAATGGGTATCCCTCAGAAAATGTCTGGCCTCTGGATCTGAAGCGTTTTGGTTCCCTCCAGAGCAGCCGCACGTTCCTCCGCCACCGTGTGATGGAAGTGATGCGTAAGTGAGGTCCCTCCAGCCAGTCCTGGCCAGGATGACCAACATTTTTCCCCTCTGCTGGACTCTGAGGACCATTTTCCTTCTTCCTGGCCTCCTTTGTGGCCATACAGCCTATTCCCAGGAGAAAGGAAAGGATGGGTTTTCTATTAACTTTCCTTTTGGTCCTGTGCTCTGTCCTGTATCTGTGCTTTGCCTCTGGTAGAGGGGAATTTGTGCCCCTCTCTGTAGGACTCCAGACTTAATAATCAATGCTAAGGTCTTATCTGGGAGTATTATGCTGTCTCAAACATTGTTATTCCTTGCCCATCGTTACAGTGTGGAAATGTCATCAATTCCAACTTGGGAGTGTGTGATCCAGTTATCTTAGATCATTCAGGAAGTCTTCACAGACACATTCTGCTTTCTCCTATCAAAGGTTGTGATAAACACCTCACAGAACAGATTGGAGATGTCACTGTTGCTGTCTAAAACCATGCTTAGTTTCCTCCTGTTGTTTGATTATCTCTCTGGAGATACCATGGACTACTTCTTTTCAAGTTGCAAACAGGAGTCTGAAGGGCTCCACAAGTTGCAAAACATGAACAAATATTTGAATACCAAATCTGAACTCAAAATATGTGTCCAGGTGAAATCAGAGGAGTTGGGTAAAACCTCTTAGCCCTGCTGAGGAAATAAAAGCCTTATGCTCTGACCTTCCTCCCAGGAAAACTCTTGGCATTGTTCTACAGTTGCTTTGCAATACAAACCTCGATTCTGGTAGCTACAGAAACATTCTAGTTTTTACAGGACAAGCACTGAATTCAATTTCTGTGCTGTTATGTTCCCATTCTAATCTGTTCTTCACTCTACCCACTCTTTCAGGAGCACCAAATGATGCCAATAAAAAAAAATCATCAGCTGTGAGGCAAGATCAATAGAAATGTTCAGTAAGAAACATTCAGCTCATTTTCAATTTTAAGCTTTCTCACCCACGTAGAAACTTCATGCTTATAAAGAAGGATTCAGGCATCCTGGATTTATGCCACCCCACTGGTAACCAGGGAGGATGCTAAACATTTGTTAGGGTCACTTGGGAAGGTTTAGGAACCATTTGTAACAGCTGCAGTGATGAGAAGAGGCTGAACTGCCACTAATTAGGATGATCCTTGAAGCTGTGGGCTGCGTTTGTGTTGTCAAAATGATGTGTGTCTGATCCAGTGAGCTGTCAGGGAGGAATGGGGCATCATTAATGCTAGGAAGCAGAACTTCATGAAAAAATAGAGCTTGTGTTACCTGGACAGTACTGTGGTGGGACCACAAGTGTCTATAAATAGAAGGGTTCTGTGCAAATACTGGTGCTCTGATTTTTGGAATCAGTTGGAAATGGATCAAACCGGGTCTTTCCCCAAAACCAGCAAGGGAAGTGCAGAACTGTTCTGAGGGGATTCCATTCATGGCTCAGGAAGGAAATTTGAGCTCAAGATGATAACTGTGCCTAAGAATGGGGTTTTGTGGCTGTTGCAGCTCTCATGTGTGACCTGAAGGTTCCTCGGTGGGACTTCCAGACGGGCAGGCAGCTGAGAACATCCCCCTTGTATGACCGCCTGGATGCACAGGGAGCCAGGTGGATGGAAAAGCATGGATTTGAGAGAGTCAAGTATTTTGTCCCACCTGGGAAAGGTGAGCTAGCATGGCCTTTTTTTGCTTTGTTTCTCCTTCTCCCCTGTCCTGTGCCCCACTTCTCTCTTGTTTTCTCTCCTTTATACTGCAAATTCTTCTCTCTTCCTTTTTGGCCCCACACCTTCATTCCCAACACCAACTTCATCTGTGCTTCCAGGCAGTATTTTAAGGAGCATAAATCACTTAACCTTTATACCCAGCAGCTACCATCTTAGTCTCTACCTTATGAGGTGTATCTTTTGTGCTTGTAGTAGAATCAATAGAGATTTTAAAGAGTGCTGGTTCAGTTTTTTCATGCTTTTTCATGCTTGGGTTCTGTTCTTCATGCTCTGTGCTTTTATTACATTGTGATCAGAGAACACACTGGAAAGAATCACACTTCATCTTGGTTAACAGAAAATTGTGGAGTATCAAAATAGCCTGGAAAGAGATCTTAATCAACCTGTGTGAATGGATTGACTAAGCTTAAGTATACAACTAGATTATTAATTAGCCTGAAGATCCAAATGCATGCTCAAGTAGATGACCATGCCCCTGGGCTCATCCATTTCTTTCTGTTCACTCAGTTTAAGCAGTCCATTTTATCTGGAAGATAGACTGTCATGGAATCAATTCTTCTCTGCCTTGTGCATCCCAGTTCCTGTATGTAAGATCTTAGTTCATCCAGTTTTGTCCCCTTCATTCTTCTTTACACTAGATCTGCTGGATTTGGATCAGAGCAAAACCTTTTACAAACCAGACTGGTTTGATATTGTGGGTTCTGAAGTCAAGTGCTGCAAGGAGGCTGTTTGTGTCATTGACATGTCATCTTTCACCAAGTTTGAAATAAGTGTAAGTACCTGGGAGGTGACAAAGCATCAGCCTGGTGAAGGTGGCCTTTGCTTTTGCAGAGCTCTGCGTGTCCTGCTGAGGACAGGGAGTCAGGCTGGATCCCCAAATCCAGCTTGTACCACCATATTTAGCACAGATGGCTTTTTATTTTCTCTCAAGGCCCCAGTTTCTAGAAATACCAGCTGAATCTATAAATAGAATTTGACCTCTGGCAATTTGTCACCTCTGTGTCCTATCACACTGGAGACATCAGAGACATCATCATTAGGAACTGCAGGAATTTGGGCCAGGACACGGATAATGATCTTAAGCAGCCCCAGTAGATTGTGTTTGCTCAGGTAGCTCATCTGACTTTCTCTCCCTTTTCCATTCCCATAGTCCACAGGAGACCAGGCCCTGGAGAGCCTCCAGTACCTCTTCTCCAATGACCTGGATGTGCCAGTGGGACATGTTGTGCACACAGGAATGCTTAATGAGAAAGGAGGGTATGAGAATGACTGCAGCATTGCACGACTGAGCAAACGCAGGTGGGTGTCTGGGCAGCCTCTCTCCACCACCCTTTGGGTGCCAGAGCCTCTGAATAGGGATGAGGAACTTTTCTCCCCTCTGTGAAGAGATAAGTCGTAATTCTCCTTTTACTTAACTGAGGAACGCAAATGAGTGGAAGCTCCTGAATTTGCCAGTATTGGGGAAAATATGTCTGTCTGAACATAGATTTCTACAAAATATCAGGCCTTCAGGTGTTTAATTTCTCAAGTGAAAGACAAATTGTTTCATAGACTCATAAAATAGAATCCCAGACTGGTTTGGGTTGGAAGGGACCTTTAAGATCATCTAGATCCAACCCCCTGCATGGGCAGGGACACCTCCCACCAGCCCAGGTTGCTCCAAGCCCCATCCAACCTGCCCTTCAACCCTGCCAGGGATGGGGCAGCCACAGCTTCCCTGGGCAACCTGGGCCAGGCTCTCACCACCCTCACACCAAACAATTTCCTCCTCATGTCTCACCTCAATCTCCCTCCTCCAGTTTTAATCCCTTCCCCCTTGTCCTCCCCCTCCCTGCCCTTGCCCTCCCCAGCTTTCCTGGAGCCCCTTCAGGCACTGGAAGGTGCTCTAAGGTCTCCCTGGAGCCTTCTCTTCTCCAGGCTGAACACCCCAACTCTCCCAGCCTGACTCCAGAGCAGAGCTGCTCCAGCCCTTGGATCATCTCTGTGGCCTCCTCTTGACTCCCATTAGAGTTTATTATTTTAGATAACCACTTCAAGTTCAAACCAAACGGTTCCTTGTTGGCTCCTGGCCAGTTTTCTCGTTGGAATTGCATGCTGAAAATACTACTTTTTGATTATTTCAGCTTGCATTGCAATTCTGGGCACTGTAATGCTCAGCTCTGCAGTATCTCCTGGTTCTTTTTTGTGCTCTTGGGTGCAAACTGACCCTTAGACTCAACAGTTTGGGCTCTCTTGGGTGTTTAATAAAACAAATCCACCTCCTTTTAAAAAGCTTCTCCATCAGCATGACCCAGTTGAGGGTTGGTTTTATTTCTCTAGATCATTTTCTGTGCATGCTTTCATTGTGTTGATGTGAAACATTCTTTGCTGCTCTTTCAGTTAGAAACAGCTTTTCTTTCTCTTCTCTATGAATTCATGTATTGTTTCAAAGGATTGTCCTTCTCTGTGGGAAACCAGGAGCTTCCCTCCTTGCCTGGTCATTTCTGCAGATCTTTTCTCTGTCAGTCATGTGCTTTAACTCACAGTTGGTGTGAAAGAGACTCACACCACAAGTAGCTCATTTTCACACATCAAGTGGAGCTCTGTTTTTAGAAGCTGTTCATAATAAGCCCCATTGTGTGTGACAAGATGTTGGCTGCAACAAGAACTTGCTGTGTGAACCAAGCAGTCCTCTGACTGTCAGAGCAGGCAGTCCCTGGGTGGGGAAGAGCTGCAGATACCTGCTGCAAAATGATTGTGGCTTTTGAGCTCCCCTGTGAACCTCATGTAGAACTGTGTTCTCCTTCTAGTCACTTGTTGTCACCAACCTGCTGTTAACCCTGGAGGGCTGGGGATTCTTGTCATGACAGATTAAAACTAGAAGAGGGAGATTTAGGTTGGACATCCCTGGCAGTGTTGAAGGGCAGGTTGGATGGGGCTTGGAGCAGCCTGGGCTGGTGGGAGGTGTCCCTGCCCATGCAGGGGGTTGGAACTGGATGATCTTTAAGGTCCCTTCCAACCCAAACCAGTCTGGGATTGATCCAGAGGCTTCAGCTGTGGTTTTCACAAACCAGCTTGTTTTGGCCTCCTGTTAGCTTGGAGAACTGCTGGGTGGCTCCAGCAGTTCTTGGACAAAGATTGAACTGAGTCATCTTGTGGCTGTCCAGTCATTGATTTCTTGGTTTCAACGTGTCTGTTCCAGCTTCTTCATGATTTCTCCTACTGACCAACAAGTCCACTGCTGGGCCTGGCTGAAGAGCCGCTTGCCCGATGACAACAACCTGACCTTGGAAGATGTGACCTGGAAGTACACAGGTTAGGAGTCACTGAAAGCAAGACCTCCTTGTACAGCCTGAAATCACAAATGGTGTCTTGTGCTGCATGCCAGTTAATTGCTTAAGGTGTGTTAATTGCTGAAGTGGTGGCTGGCTTTCCTTCCCAAACAGCTGGAGGAAAACAGCACCTCAGAGGTTTCCTTCTAGCAGGGAGCTGGGACACAGCTCTCCTGTGGGCTGAACGATTCTTTCCTCCTTAATTATAAACATACCTCTTAGTTCAATAAACTCTTTAAGACTTGGGGCATGTGTCTGTGCAGGTTGGACAGCAGGCAGCACCTCTCCAGATCCCAACCCTCTTCCTTCCCCTCCTCAGCTCTCAACCTGATTGGCCCCCGTGCTGTGGATCTCCTGTCAGAGCTGTCGTACGCCCCGATGACTGCAGAGCATTTTCCCTCTCTCTTCTGCAAGGTGAGTGACTGGGCTTCCTCCCTCCCCACCCTGCAAGCTTCTTGCAAGCATGTGTGGAAGGAGGAGAAGACTTATGGTTTGGTTAATTAGAGGGGACTTCAGATTTACATCTAGATTTCCTGCAGTTGCTGGGCTGGTGATGCGCTCACTTTGACTACTTCTCCTTGGGTTCTGATTGCTAAATATACAGGTGGATGTGCATTTGTGTTCAATATTCCACCTCTTGTAGGCTTGGTGCCACTTGGTCTCCTGGCATATTTCATAGGAACAATGATGAAGCTGTCAGAGGGGCAGCTGGGGTGGGTGACCCAGGAGCTGTTGTCCCCTGTCATGGCAAATGGCTGCTGTTCAACTTCTGCCTGGCAGCTGGAGCACAAGCCTGTGTCCTGGCCCTAGTTCTGAGGCTTCTTGCTAAGGTGTCACCAAGTGATTAAGAAAGTCTGGATCATGTGGTATCAGGATTTGAATTTTTTTATGGAAATTCTTCACTGGTGGGTGGTGGTGGGGAACTGCACCAAGGGAGGGGGGTGGTTTGTGTTGCCCCCCGTGCTCCTTCTGGATCTCTGTGCTGTGTTCCAGTTTGGATCATCTCACCCCCTCTGATTCTGCAGGAGATGAGCGTGGGCTATGCCAATGGCATCCGTGTGATGAGCATCACCCACACAGGGGAACCTGGCTTCGTGCTTTACATCCCCATAGAGGTAAGAGGACACTGGTGCCTGAGCTAATTAAGGCAGTTGCTCCCATGCATAATCAGAAACACTTCCCAAGTTGACTTAGGGTGGTGAAGTGTTTGGTCTGTACCATGGCTGAGAGAGTCCAGAGGAGGCCACGGAGATGATGGGAGGGCTGGAGCAGCTCTGCTCTGGAGCCAGGCTGGGAGAGTTGGGGTGTTCAGCCTGGAG